CACATATTCCCTAGAGCTATGAAAGCACCTCTTGCCTTTTGTATTTTTATTTTTATATCTTTATCAGTTCCTTTATCTTTATCGACTTGACTTGACTTTCTACCCCACCAGGACATCACACAAGCGATAAACACCCGCTGACACAAAGTGCCACCATGTGGATGAGGATCGCGTGGAGATGTCCTAGAAACCGCGTTCAGACAATTGGCCATATTTATGGCCTGCCTATATTGCGGCCCCTGTCAAAAGCCAGGGTGGGGCCTCAAATAACAAAAAAATTCGTCCTAATAAGGACGAAACTAGATATATATACTGTTACCCATCTTTATCAACATTATTGCCTAAATAGGTGTACGACTCCATGTCTTGGAGTGGGGTGCCATTAAGAGAAACCACATTACTATTTGCCTGATTTTTTTCTCATTATCTTTGTCTTTCCTTCATGGATTTTCAGACCAAGCTGTGGTATACAGGATAATATGTCATATTTCATGGAAACAAAAACAGTCCAATACAGAGGTTCTGGAAAGGCTACAAATTAAAGAAGAATTACTGAGGGGAAAAGAGAGACACCTTAAATACTTTGGCAACATTAAAGAAATAACACGTTTTAAAAAACCATGCTGGAGGGAAAGTCGAAGGCAAGAAAACAAGAGGTGGGCAATGATACAAGTGGGAGGACAATATCAAGAGATTGACGGGCAGCAGTCTGAGAGAGTGTACAACCAGGACAAGAAACAGACCGTGTTGGTGATCCATTGCAGCCAACTTTCCCTGTGGAGACGGTACCTGATTGATTGACTGATTGATGTCCCTTGATGACCTTTATACCCCAAGGGCTGAGTAAAATGTCTCAGCCGGTTATCTTCGCTGGATTTGAAAGTGTATGTAAGGTAAAGGACCCTCTCTCATGCCTTCAGTGGTATTAGGCATATAGGGCTAGACCTATTTATTACAGACCAATTGCTCCTCACTGGGTGATGTGGTCAACACCACGCCAGCCGCCTTTAATCCTAGGACATTACCTGGTACCCAGGTAAGGCTGGGTCGACCTAGAACCCGAGATCATTTTTGAAAAAAAGCTCTTGTTTCTTTCTGACTCGAACCCACGACATTCAGATGTGAAAAGACACTCGAATACGATAAAGAGCTGAACGTGGTCTTTGTAGATCAAGAGAAGGCATTCGACCGTGTAGACAGAGATGTGCTGTGGAGAATTCTTGACGATTACGGAGTGCAGGGTCAATTATTAGACAACACCAGAGCCCTCTATGAAAAAAGTGAAAGTGCAGTAAGAACATCTAGTGGTCTTTCTGAATGGTTCAAAATCACAACTGGTGTCAGACAAGGATGTGTACTGTCACCATTACTTTTCATAACATACATGGATAAGATCACTGTAGAAGCAAACCCAGACGTGTATGCTATAAACGAATTACTTTTTGCTGATGATCAAAGCATACTGTATCAAAATGAACATGATCTACAGGAACATCTGACTACTCTCAACAACAGCTGTTTACAACATAATATGAGAATCAGTACAGAAAAAACAGAAGTTATGAAGATCAGCAGAACACACAGGCCACTGAATATAAGTGTTGGAAGTGCCAAAATCAAGCAAACCAAAGAGTTCAAATACTTGGGCAGTATATTTACAGAGGATGGAAGAATGGACAGAGTGATAGAAACAAGAATACAGAAAGCAAATGCTGTCACATACCAACTATCACCTCTGCTTAAACATCCAGATATAACCATGAAGACCAAAAGACAATTGATAAACACCATCTTCATTCCAACACTCTGCTACCAGTGCCAGACATGGACAATCAACAAGACCCACGAAAGAAAAATAGAAGCCTGTGAAATGAAATGTCTAAGAAAAGCAGCGAATAAGACCAGACTAGACAGGATAAAGAATATAGACATTAGAAACACTGTCAAAACTACACCATGTTTAGACTACATAGAACATCAAAGAATGAAATGGTTTGGACATCTAACCAGGATGAAAAATGATCAAATAACATCACAAATTTTCAACCAAAGAAGCTCAGGATATAAGGCAAGAGGAAGACCAAGGAAACTGTGGATTGACGGGGTCTCCGAAACCTGCCAAAAGCATGGCCTCAGAACATCAGATGCTGCCCGCCTTGCTTACGACAGGAACTTGCATCTCCCCACAACGCTTAGCGGCATACGTGGAAGGAAAAAGTAAGTGAGTAAAGTAAGTAGGCGGACGTCCAGCCACTACACCACGATGGAGGAAATGTGGTGTATACACGATGGAAAATGTTACGATTTTCACATTTGAAAGTAAAGAAAGTAAACATGGACATTAGTAATAAAGAAGAACTGTAAAAGTGCTGTAAAGAACAGCAGTCATTTTTAAAAATAAGAAATGGTAATTATTTGTATAAGAAAGCTACTTTTTAATCTTTAATCTGGCCAATCCCTTCTATCTACTTAACACTCCCCCCCCCCCCTTTTTTTTTTTTCTTGCTCCATCATAATTTTATCTATATATTCCCGCCCGGCTCTCTAGCGGAATTGGCTAAACCGGATTTCGCGGATACCGGGTGACGTACTCCTTGTGGTCCGGGTTCAATCCAGGGGGTAGGCAGGAAAGCCACATTATCTTTCAGATTTACGGTATTTACAATGGAATCAAGGCCGAAAGGTTGCGATATCCATAATACCGAGCCTAAGGGTTAACAACTCATGGCTTCTGGATACTAAAACAAACAAACATTATATATATTCCCCTGTTGGTGAATTCTGTTTTTTTTTTCTTTCGCCGACGACTTCGTCGCGTTTACTCTAACCGCTTTAAAAGTTGACCTCCTAGACAAAAGAAGAAGAAAACACACACGTTGTTATAGCTTTGCGAAAACACGCCGTGACAAACGCAATTCTTCACTTTGTTTTCAGTTTGTGAAGAGAAAAGTCACCATTGACAGCAATTGATTACAGGACTCTAAAAATACTTGTGCGTGACGTAGCAAACGTGAAATTCCGACACGCCACTGACCTACAACCTCCACTGTTAAATGACTGATAATTTTTTTACCTGTTGTTATTAAACAACATTGTTTACAGTTACTTAAATAGGTCAGTCTTGAAGACACCGCGACATAAATTTAGTGTGACAAAGTCAGCTGGTACTAGGGTTACCAAATATATATATATATATATATATATATATATATATATATATATATATATATATATATATATATATATATATATATATATATATATATATTATATATATATATATATAAAACAGAGTGTAGACAAGTTGTTTGTTTATAACGTTATTGTTCATTAATAATAGGCTATAAAATAAACATAATCAACATATTAGACTTACTTCATGTAAAAAAAACTTTTGGCGGGGGACAAAAAACATCTCCCAGAGGAATCCAGGGAAAGTGGAGTATCTGGCAACCGCAGCTAGTACGCTTATCTTTTTCTTCTTCGACTATTACCCATTTATAATTATTAAAAAGTTGAAGACATCTAAGAAGACGACACAGCTGTGCAGAGCCAATTGATAATAATAATATTAACAACAACAAACCAACACGGAAGTCACGTCGTCAGCAAATACACCCTGGGAGCGAAAAAAAGGGGCGGAAAGGGTGGGGGGGGGGGTACTATACTGAGGAGGGACTCTCTTGAGCTGAGTGGTTCGATCTGCAAAAGGGGTGGTCGACTGAGGAGGGGAAACCCAGAGGGCGATAGACGAAGAAACATAGGGGTATATAAACAGAGAGAAAGAGAGATAGAGAGAGAGAGAGAGAGAGAGAGAGAGAGAGAGAGAGAGAGATGTATACAGAAAGAAGAATGTCAGAGAGAAAGACAGCTGAGATACTTTTAAAAAAAGTTCAAGTCTCGTGTATGCTCGTATCAGTCTAGGACAGGGTATGATTCTCATACAGGTAATGCAGACAGCTAGCGGGGATACACAGGCAGCACAGATACACAGACAGCACAAAGGTCTACTGGGTACTATCACACAGCTTAACTAACACAGCCTTAACTAGCTATCTAATTGGCTAGCTGAATCACTGACTGACCAAATAAATACTGGCTAACTAACTAGCTAGCTATTCAAAAATTAACTAACTGGCTGACTAACTGGCTAAATAACTGACTGGTTAACTGTCTGACTAAATAACTGACTAACTCACTAACCAGCTGACTGACTTTCTAGCTGATAAAGATACTGTCAGTTGGGATATGCATTCACGAACAAAGGGAATTTTACACGCTGTCTGGAAATATAAGTTAGGTGCCGCCTCTAAAATGAAGCTTGACTGCACGGATTTCTAACTGACTCTGACACTTGACCTGGTTATGCACTGTCAGACTGCTGTTCGCCAATCTCTTGATGTTTTTCCTTTAAACCATAACTTAGATTACAAAATCTCAATCTGGATGGCCTACCAACAAGGCAAATATCAGACAACATGTTCAACCTTCAAAGAAGTTATAATTAGGGCCAGATATAACATGTAGTGTAGTTCTGTACGGGTATGGGCGAAGTGTTTTGCCTGTAAATTGTACAGCCAGCCACAGGTAACTTCAGGTCAACACCTAGCACAAAAGCAATGCCGCCTTGACCTGATTGACTGAATGCTAAATAAGAAAGCTTCCTATTGTTAAAGTGGACGCTCCGAAAGCTCACACATTTTACTAGTAGGCACAAACACATCTTTATAAACAAAACATGCATGAGTGCCCTGTAGTAGGGACTTAGGAGGTTGGCATTTAAATCTGGGTTTACATTGAAATGTTCTTCAGTTCTGCTGTTTGGCCGGGAGCGCCGTGTTGTCCCGTGCTCATGAATATTCATCAGTTGTGTAGTAGCAGTCGTAGTACAGTATCTACGTTAATGGATGCGTGTGTTGTCGGTGAACTTCTATTTACCAATCCGTGCTGCAAGTAAATCTCCAAAACGCCGCCTATACAAGGTTGCATGTGTCTTCTAAATGGACAGTTCGTCCATTATTACCCAGGTTACTCGAGATGACGGGTTCCTTGATACATTTTCTACATCGGAAAAGGGTAAGCGCAGAATGCAAGTGGTTGCAAAATGGCGTTTGTTTGGCTGAGCAGAAGTACAAGGATGTTATCTAGTGGGACCTCCCCCTTTTCTTGTTTGTTCACTACTTCTGCAGCTTTTTAACACTCGGTGTTAATTATTAATAACACATTAGTGGCATTAATTTTGTTGCAGTATTGAGAAGGAACGGTGTGAATTAGAAGCCATCGGCAATGCAAAAATAAGTTTTTGAGTTTTTGAAGTTAGAACTTGGGGGTTTCGGACAAGTAACTTCTCCAAAACGGTATCTGATATTCATTAAGGAAACGAATAATTTCAATAAAACAAATAGATGCTTACTGTATGTATACAGATACCGAAGAGTTTGTGTCAATAATATTGAATGTAAATGCACTTGTGCCATGTTGTTTCCTTTTATGAAATGCAGTTATTACTGTACTCTGTCCATAAATTGTCATTTTTAGTCATAGTTGAAAGCTGAATATTAAAAACAAAATTTCTAACACACACATGCAGGTCTTTAGCAGCCAGATACTGTGTTCCTATTATTATAGTCTGTGCTGTTTGGTGTTGATCATAATGTCTGTTCACAGAGTTCTGTCTCATGTATTTTGTTTTTTCTGATAAACATGTTCCTCTGTAAAAGAACTGGTTCTCCTTGCAACTACGGCCACATATTGGGGAAGTACGCCGGAGTTCAGTCCCCTGGCCGCATTGCAATTACGGAATGGAGAAGGAACGAATCACACAACACAGTGAGGTCGACATGGCTGGCAGACTGACAGCAGTGCACTGCACCCAACCCTAACCCAAACCCTAACCCTAAACCTAACTCTAAACCCTAACCTTATGATGACAGCAGTGCACTGCACGCTGTTTAATGCTCACGCTGTCTATCGCCAACACACACTAATTACGTCATTTGTTTCGTTTCCTCTTTTTCACTCCGTACTTGCAATGCGGCCAGGGAACTGAACTCCGTCATACTCCCCCAATATGTGGCCATAGTTGCAAGGAGAGCCAAAGAACTTTTCCATGCTTTCAGGTGTATTGGGCATGTAGGGCTAGACCTATATTTTATAGACCAGTCAGTACTCGGTAGGTGAGGTGGTCAACATCACGATGACCGCCTTTACTTCCTATGACTTTATCTGGTACCCACTCAAAGCTGGGCTGACCTGGGAGTCAGGGGCATTTAACAACAACAAAAGTCTGGCTCGATGTTTCTTAGTGTTAATATAATTAAACTATCGCTTCTTCTTGTTTACCGCCTTTAACGGCTATAAACTCCAGCTCAGAGTTCTTGTTATTCATTCATTTCTAGACTTTGCTTTTGTACCAGGACTTGAGTGTTGCATCCACTTCTGTCTTTTGTTACTTTAAACAGTTAAATTACTGCTGCAACTTCTCTGTGGGATAACTGGTAAGATATCTTGCAGTTATTTGAGTTTTCCCCCCTCTTAAATATCTCCACCTTGGTATGGTTGAGGGGCATGTGTTTCATTGATCACAAGAGCTTTACTGATTTTAGCTTGGTTACTGGTACCGTCTCTTTTCAGACCAGTCAACTTGTGTGTGGGTCCCGTTGCCCTTCCCCCCTCCCCAAACTGGATGTGTCTGCTGAAAAGGGCAGATTTTACAGCCTATTTGTAAATCCCAACATAACACCCTAACAGCTCTTTTAAGCCTCTTTCCCTGGGAACACCAAAGAAAAGAGTCAAGATCCAGGGGAATTCCAGAAAAAAATAATTACAGAAACAACACTTTTACACAGGTTACGAATAAATTCATAAATATATGTATTTATCTAAATTTTAAAAACTTTTAAGAAATTTATAGATATATGAGGGGAGTAATAAGGTAATTATAGTTTCAACTTCATAGCATGTGAGTCACCCCATAGTTGCTCTGCTGTTGTGTCAACAAAAACCACACAAAAGGACCATCACTGTCCCTTGTAAAAAAAATGAACACTGACTGCAGTCTCAGCATATTTAGTAGCATACACATGCATCAAAAGCATAAGCAAGACGTCAGAAGTGCTAACTCAAACAGTCTGACCTAGAAATGCAGTACATGCACCACCAGTTCTGTGGCATCAGGCCACTTGCCATTTTCTGAATCTACATTTCACACCGTGTTACCTACAGTCGAAAAATATTCCAAATGAATTCTGCAGCTCACAGTGTCATGCCATGTACTCAGATCAGTAGCATATATATATATCCTTTCAATCTACAAATTGAGCAAAATGCAACGACCACATATTGTCAGAAGCAAAAAATTGGCTGAATGAAGGAGATAGGTCGAGCAATAAGAGTCAGATAAAGAGTGACCCAGCCCTGCTGCCTTGCGGGTAGCATGAAGACTAGGGAAGGCAGTACCCCCATTAATGCTTCTAGGAAATGGATGAAGTGAGCCACAATCTTGAACAGTACAGTGTCTTGCTTCATGATCTCTTCTTCTTCTTCTTCTTCTTCTTCTTCTTCTTCTTCTTCTTCTTCTTCTTCTTCTTCTTCTTCTTCTTCTTCTTCTTCTTCTTCTTTGTATTCACCAGAAAAAAAATTCTGACAGAAAGTTCTAGTTGTTCCTCTAATTCTGACTTTAGTCTTGTTCCAGAATCTGAGTTTTGGAGTATATCCGTTTTACAGATCTGAATTATTTGTTTGAAGACTTTATAATTCATCTCATGTTTCAAAGGGAACATCCCTAATTATTTGCCTTTTACGACATGCTGATTGTAGTGGGCCTGTTCCCCTTTTTACCTTACAGTGGGGCCCAGGACCCACACAGGGAGCTTCATGATGATAAGTTGGTTGCCTATCGTCAACAGGACATTGCGGAACCAACTTCAGCTTTTATTAGCTGTTTTGTTTTACTAGACAGTTTTATGTTCACTAGTTTGACATTGCTCTCTGAATGATTTGCTTTTAATACCGGTGTCGAAATCACAGCAAGACTATCTGCTGCCAGATCGCCCACAGCTGGAATCGAATGGGGTACCTCAGAATTACAAAGCACTTTTGCAATGCCTAAAGCCACAGACGCTGACCGTCATGATAAGGTGAATTGAAATTTAGCCTTACTTGTTGTGACCTTGAACGCTATGGAAAAGATTTGTAAAAGTAGAACTTCTTAATTTTATGAGCTCGTAAAGGAAGTGGCGTTTTTTCTCATGTCTCGTACAGGGTATTTCATTCTCTGGATGTTTACAGTTTTTAAGTTGGTCTTTAACAATACCTGGTTATTGAAGAAACCTTTAAAAAAGTAATCAGTTTGAAAAAAAAAGTCTTCTCTGAAAAAAAGATCTGTCCCATAAAAAGAGTAATGAAGTGTCTTGAAAAAAGAAACTGACTCACAAAGAGAGCTGATTGCTCACATTAGAAGCAGACAGTCTACACTCTCTGGTAATGTCATAAGAAGGAGAAAACTGGAATAAATCATGACAGTAGGAAAGTTGGAGAGGAAAAGAGGCAGAGGGAGGCTATGAGAGAAGATGCTGTACAGTTTGACATTATGGTATAGAGGATCATTTGTGTCAAGGATTAAAAGTACGCAAGACAGAAGGTTTGTGGATATAAATGGCTACCAGCGTCACATGGCATGGATTTTGAGAAGTCCATAACATATTCTTTAGAGTCCTATAGAAGTAGAAATTTTGTCATTAGTTCTGTTTGCCCGAAAAATCAAGTAATATTTTTGTGATAACATTTATTGTTTCATTTTTAATTTGGTTGTCTTTTTTTTTTCTGTTATTTTAGGCACGACGGCGGTCGTCACCCCAAATGGCAAGAAAACACGAAGTCGAAACCTTTTTGGTTCCATCCTTTGTTGCTTTCGCAACACCAACAACAACAGCAACAACAATAACTATGCTCCTATCAACTGTCAGCTGCAAGTGCCTCTGGAGAATGGCAGTCCTAGGGTAAGTCTTAGTTAATGTTATCATTATTTGGCCATTTTCACATGCACCTGCAAAGCTGCTGTTGGTGACGGAGTCGCTGCTTTGACAGACACTGGTAAAACTGAAGCCGTAGATATTGCCATTAGCTCTTTCCACACATGTCAGCATTTTGTCGGGGCCGTTTGTTAGTTCAGCAGGTTTTAATGATTTAGAAAGATGTTTACTGCACTCAACAAATGTCACCTTCTTGGATTTTTGTATCTTAGAGGCATTAGAAATTGGGAGCTCAGGCCCCTTGAGGGTGCCTCCACCCCCCCCCCCCCCCCCCCCCCCCACCCACCTCCAAATAAGTTTGCAAGGACCTCTTCAACTATTTAAAAAAATTATCTTTAAAAATATTTGTTTATATTTAAGTATTTGCCGACTTTCATGGGCGATCATGCCTCTCCACAATGTGCGATCTGCAACTGCATGTATCAATGTGTTGGCACCCCTCCATGCCATGACAAAAAGCTATCACGAATCTTCTCGATATGTCTTCCTCTTTCCATAAATCTTTCCAGTGGTCACAACATGTTCCATTTCCCTGCTTCTGATAACATGACCAGAAAATGATGACTATCTCTTTCTGTTTGTGATAAGTTGTCTTTGAGCACTCGCCTCTTTTGAAATATCTGGGTTGCTCTTCTTAGCTGTCCAAGCTACAGCCGGTGAACACAAAGAAGAAGAGGACTAGTTTGTTTTAATTTAATACACGCTACTTCTTGTGTGTTCGAGCTTAAAAGGCAGTTGGCATGTTGTGTTGTGGTTTACAGCTAGGCCCAGCACATCCAGTTTCAGCAAACCCATAAATTAGTCACATTTTCTGACATACTTGTTAAGAAGCAATGGGACTGTCAGGGGTCGAGAGGCGGGTGGCAAGGTCAGAGCACGTATTTCTAAAAGTCATTCAACTTGCACTAACAGACACGCTCATATGTACTTCTCATATTCGCCTCCGACTCCTGAGCTTGATGAGTACTAAGAGATATGAGTGCTGACACATAGTTCATTGTTGTTACACTTAAAGCACATTAACACTGCAATCACAGCCATGACAACACGAACAAACTGTATCAGAATGTGGTCACAATCCACACGAGAACGTCTGATGTAGATACAATATGCTGAGCTCTGTTACTTTTAACTTTATTATTCTATTATTTCTCCATCGTTCTAAATAATTCAACATATTATCTAACTCTATCTAACTTAACAACTAAAACCATTATTCATGAGGCATGGCCACACTACAGTTGTCCAGACCGTCCACAAGGACGTCAGGTCGACAACTGTCCCCAGCCGGTTCACAACCTGAGCTCACTTTTCCTAACTTCAGGTAGTTCACGTAGCCTCTGTGGCCTGTATGCACATCATGACAATCATATATTTAGTGCTTTGACAGCAGTCCCACATTCCCTCTCTCTCCACCCCTACTCCGATCATGACAGGGACATATAAGATGCAATTCTTATTTTTCCCTAAAAAGAGGGCACAGAACCAAACCGGGGAAATACACTGCCAAGGTATACATTTTAATGTATTGTTTAATGGGAAAATGTAATTTACAAAGAGCTTGGAGGCAACAGAGATGATGTTTTTATGATGCATGTTGGCAATATCTTGGACAGCCAGAGTAACACAGTTATTGCCTAGCAAAAGCTTGTGAAGTTATGAAAAGAGACTTTAGTTCATATTTCTAGATGGGAGATCTGCATGGTGAAATTGTCAAGCCATTTGCCATGTGCTGTTAAGGTTGTTGGATTAATTTATAATTTACAGTTGCATCCTTCAGCTCATGAGTGCAGTATTTAGGGAGATAGATCCATAGGTATTGTTATGGGGGCTATGGAAGTTGTGCGCCAGTCTTGGCAAGCGGCTAGCCATTCTGTGGAGAGAGACAGAGTTATGTAGAACCACCCAATGCAATGAAATCGATCCTGTTGACTTTCATTCTTTGTTTTATGACTATTTATACATTTATAATCAATGTTGCACAATACTACCATCCACAGACATCAGATAAATACTTGTTACCACCCGTCCGGCAGCAAGACATCAATAAGAAATGTGTGGTGATAGACCTTGATGAGACTCTTGTACATAGTTCTTTTAAGGTATGGTAGAAATATATGAGATTCTTGTACATAGTTTTTTCATGGTATAGTAGAAATATATGAGACTTTTTTACATAGTTCTTTTAAGGCATGGTAGAAATCTATGAGACATGTACATAGTTCTTTTAAGGTATGGAAGAAATATATGAGACTCTTGTACTTAGTTCTTTTAAGGTATGGTAGAAATGTATGAGACTCTTGTACTTAGTTCTTTTAAGGTATGGTAGAAATGTATGAGACTCTTGTACGTAGTTCTTTTAAGGTATGGTAGAACTATATAAAACTCTTGTACCTACTTCTTTTAAGGTATGGTAAAAATATATGAGATTCTTGTACGTAGTTCTTTTATGGTATGGTAGAAATATATGAGACTCTTGTACATAGTTCTTTTAATGTATGATAGAAATATTTGAGAATATTGTACATAGTTCTTATAAGGTATGTTAGAAATATATGAGACATGTACATAGTTCTTTTACAGTATTGTAGTTATGTAAGAGACTTGTATATACTTATTTTAATGTATGGTTGAAATGTATGATGCCTATATATAGTTCTTTTAAGGTATGGTTGAATTGTATAGGACTTGTACATAGTTCTTTTAAGGTATGGTAAAAATGTATGAAACTTGTACATGGTTCTGTTAAGGTATGGTAGAAATATATAAGACTTGTACATAGTTCTTTTAAGGTATGGTGAAAATGTATGAAACTTGTTCATGGTTCTGTTAAGGTATGGTAGAAATATATAAGACTTGTATATAGTTCTTTTAAGTTATGGCAGAAATGTATGACTAAAAAAAATGTTCTTTTAAGATATGGTAGAAATGAATGAGACTTGTACATAGTTCTTTTACAGTATAGTAGAAATATATCAGACTTGTACTTAGTTATTTTAAGGTATGGTAGAAATTTATGAGACATACATAGTCCATTTAAGGTATGGTAGAAATGCATGAGACTTGTACATAGTTCTTTTAAGGTATGAAAGAACTTGATGACAACTTTTTTTCTTATACTGTTTGACACATCTTGATGGGACTTAGTTCTTTGAGGATTGGCTAGATGAGGGGTTAGAGCGCTGGGCTCCCATGCAGGACACCTGTGTTCCCACACCTTCAGGGGTATTGGGAATTAGTGCTAGACCTATATTTTATAGACCAGTCGGTGGGTGATTTGGTCAGCATCACGCTGGCCACCTTTACTTCCCAGGACCCATTTAAGCCTGGGTTGACCTGGGAGTCAAGTCTTTATTTTTTTTAAAGTCCAATTCGGTTAGGACCTGAATCCATTACCTTCAAATCCGTAGGTGAGTATCTAGCCACTACACCACAGTAGCTCAATCCTCAGTAAGAGATGTGGATTTTTTTCTTTCTGTTAGGGCAACAATAAAAATCTTTACCTGCACAGTTTGTGGCAGCTGAACTAGCCATGTGACCTTAGATGGGCTCACAACCCCCTCGCCTGCAGTAATTTAAAAAAAAAAATTGCTGTTGTTACTGCCTGCATTCAAAACTAAAAGTGTAAATAAATGCAGTAAAGACAATCTTTTATTATAATTCTGTTAAGGTAAGATAGACTCGATTTCCTGCTTGGGTTCTTGGGGACGGGGCACCATTACGAGGAGAAAAAGAATGGACCTACTGACCCCCCCCTCCCCTCACAAGCATATCATAGGTATTAACTAATAAGAGGGGCATTTCATGTGGAATGCATCGGCTAGAGAGGCGAGGAACCAAAAGTATGCACACAAATGAGCCACATCTGCAAATTGGATGTTCATGAAAAAAAAGTTCTATTATAAGGCTAAAAGTCTAAAAGTGGACGAACATCCAGAACTTTCCCAAAGATGAGAAACCCAGAACCCACAGAGGAAACTTCTGACTCTGTCTGAATCAGCTTAAACCACTAATGTAGAATATCTTGTTTTTAGCCAATCAACAAAACAGATTCTAATGTTGAATTGCTTGTTTTCAGCCAATCAACAATGCTGATTTTGTTGTTCCAGTCGAAATTGATGGCACAGTTCATCAGGTTAGCCATATTGTCTTTGAAATCACCAGTACTGGCATCTCCCATGTCTTACTGATAGTGAAGTAGTCGTGTTCCTCAGCATGTTTGTAGTTTGTTTGTGTAGATATTGTGTGTGGTGTGGGAAGAGGAGAGAAAGAGCTAGTGCAGTCACATCTCTTTTCACATTCACCCTTAGAGAGGGAGGGAAGGATGTGTCACATTATGTTGTGGTTTACAGCTAGGTTATGATATCTACACCTTTTGGCCTAACACATCTGATTCAGCAAACCCATTTTAGTCTCCTCTGATGACCTGCATGTTGGGAGGGGGACAGTGGTACTGTTCTTTATTCCCCAAAGCAGGCTCTCGAACCCGGACTGGAGGTGCAGTCAGTGATTTGTTCAGTATGTGATGCAGTCTTTCTCTGTCAAGGTGTCCTCAAAATCTAGCATTCCTGGCTAAAGATTTAAAATAAAGGCCTAATTAATTGGCCTTAAACTGTCTGCAGAAGAATATTCTTAACTCACTTAACCTTCCACGTCTGTCTAGAATTATGATCAGAATCTATCAGGCATGGTGGCACAATAGGTAACAAAGGAGGACTGGCATGGTGCTGCCTGCAAGGACATTAATGTAATAAATATATGAGGGGGCTTCGAATGAAAACCTTGAGTGTGATAGAAATTACAATAACCATGCCAAGATCTTGTAATATGTCAGTATTGTTGTTAAGGATGCCAAGAGTGTTAGGCACATGAACACAAACACTGTGACATCATGATGATGGTTTGAAGATGGCCACCCCACTTTTGACATGCAGCAGAGAAGAGCAGGGTTCTCATATTATTATCAGGTTTCCTTTTCACCTCTTGATTCACGCAAATTTGTCTAACTCGCACATTTAAGTGTAAAAAAGGTGTGTCAGCTCCATAGTGAAGATTGGCTACTATGTATCCTCTCCCTCTGCTGTGTTTTGGAATATTTCCTGGTGAGGCCCCAGTCTCTTCCACAGTGCAACATCTCATATCTCCTCCCCCCCCCCCCCCCCCCCCCCAATTCCTACAATTTTTTCACCCAAATTTTCTTTTTGGGGGGTAAGCTTTATATCTTGATTATGTATATTTTATAGCCCATTAGTAGTGAAAAATTGAAAAATGTCATTATAAACAAACGAGTAAGTCGCCACTCCGTGTTTCATTTTCCGATCTGACAACCCTACATACTACTGTCTAAAAACCGCCATAACTTTGTCACAGAGCTCCACATTTTGACTTTGTCTTACCAAACCAGTTTAAATCAATATGTATTTTTTTTTTTAACTTTCAGGTTTATGTATTAAAGAGGCCACATGTTGACGAGTTTTTGCAACACATGGGGAAACATTTTGAGTGTGTGCTTTTCACAGCAAGCCTTGCCAAGGTCAGCACTTATGTCACTCAATGTTTTGGTTCCACTGACCTTATATCCATCATAAATGTACTTAACATCCATAGGTGCATGATAGGAGTAGAGAAAAAGGCATGAGTTTAAATATCTGCGAACAACATTCACTGAAGATGGGAAATTGGATGAAGAAATTAACATCAGATGCAGTAAAGCAGACTAAGTATTGGGGCAGTTAGCGCCTCTATTACAACACAAGACAGTCTGATCAGCACAGAGAAACATCTCATGCAAAGCATATTCATTCCCACTCTGTGCTACCAGTGCCAGACATGGTCACTCACAACAAACCAAAAAAGAAACGTTATTAGCCGTGGAAATGAGATCTTTGAGAATGGCTACAGGAGTGACCATAAAAGATAAAACCAAGAAAGAGGTCATAAGAGCAAAAGTTGACGAAACCAATTCTAAGTTACATGCAAGGCAAGCAAATCAGAGGGTTTGCCCACTTAGACAGAAAGCCTTGTGATGCCATATCAATCAAGGTAGACCGAGAACAAGATGGAAAGATAGAATCAGAGACACCTTATATCAGCACAGTGTGTCTTTGGTCGAGGTAGCCAAAAGAGCTAGAAGCAGAACCTGATATTTCCTTCGACACCCGAGGCGGTTAAAAAAAAAGTGAAGAAGAAGATACAGGATAACTTGAGTTCCTTCCAGCTTACTATTTAAATAATTACTTTACTTAGTTAATGCTTTTCTACCCTGGGAACGCTTCAGAGGTCCCGGGTAGTTAGAGTCCTTTGGATATTTTTTGCAGGTCATACTAGTGTGGAAAAATGAACAGGCAGATAGACTGGCTGGTTCTGCACCACTTGGTGATGAATAGATGCATGACAAGCTAGATGTTGTAAGGGTCCTTTTGGAGAGAGTGAACAGTGCGAAGGCACAAATAGCTTATTACAGTCTCAAGTGAATGACGCTACGAGGAATTGCCAGACGATCTGGACGACGATCATTACTGAAGGGAAAGGCGAGACAGATATAGAGTCAGTCAGTTACTGGTACCATCTGAATTGGAACTCTTCACTTGCTGCTGAAGATGGGGACGGAGCTCTTTTTGGAGAATCCCGAGTGCTGTGACATGGACTCTTAATTCAGCATTAAACATGCCTCTACCCTGGGGCGTAAAGGTTTGCCAGAAGGATTACCGGACGTCTCCGTCAGCAGTTTTCTTTTTAGCTTTGTTGAGTTACAGTCCTCTATCTGTCAGATATTGGGTTCCCAGGGAACACTAGGTTGTTCTGAAGGTCTTATTCCCTGGTTCTTGGCCTCCCATGCCTACCATGGTGGCCGATTGTCTCCCCTACCACTAGCTAAATTATTTTATGGTGTTAGGCATGCTGGGGAAAAATAAGTAGCAAGGGAAAAATAAGTAACAAAAGGTGACACTGTATAGGTGATATGGTCAGCATTGTGGTAGCCAGTTTCACTTCCCAGACCATACCCTGGTGCGATTTCTAGGTTGTCACCTAGGAGCCCAGATGCACTATAAAAATATGCATCAGATTTGATTTTCGACCAGTGAACATTGTGGTTAGAAGACAAGCATGGTAGCAGCTTTCATCCACTGCTTATAGTCATGCTGCTAGCTAACACCACTGCCACTTAAACCATGCTAGCAACTTACAGCCACTGCTGCTGCAACTTACAGCCACTGCTGCTGCTGCTACTGACACCCATGCTAGCAGCTTACAACCACTGTTACTGCTGTTTCCAACCATGCTAGAAACTTAAGCCACTGCTACTGCTACTTACAGCCAGGGGTACTGCAACTGACAACCATGCTAGCAACTTACAGGCACTGCTACTTACAACCACTACTATTGCAATTTTAACCTCTTCTGCTGCAAGTGATAACCACTGCTACTGTACCTTCAAACCACTGCTACTACAACTTACAGCAACAATGTTATATATTTCTTTTGTTTTTCAGTATGCAGATCCTGTGGCAGATTTATTGGACAAATGGAATGTGTTCCGATGTCGTCTATTCAGGGAATCTTGTGTCTTTCATAGGGGAAATTATGTCAAAGTGAGTACTGGAGTGTTACAGAAGGTTGTTTATGTTTGTTTGTTTATTCGACGGACCAACATCATGGCACATAGGTGTAACCCATGAGTGCTCCATTCTACTTCTAACTCAAGCTCAAGTCTGAAGAATCTCAGCGCAGTGCACGAACTCCATTGCACCGGCAAGAATCCTGACATACTTTTTGTAGATTTTAACTCCAAATTTTTACCCGGGCAGCACCGTTAGGCTACTGTTTTCAATTTCCAACTGCCAAGGGATTTTTTAATGTGCTCAAGAATACACACGGGCGTCCGATCTTACTCAACAGAAGAATGTATGTGTGCATGGTTGTCTTAATATTTGTAGAAAGTTGTCTGGATATACATATAAATGTCTTGATTGTTTTGTTGTTGTTGTTGTTGTTTGTTAAGTCTGTTTTTAGAATTGTCCTGATGTCTGTAGAAAGCTGTCTGAGATGTTTATAGACCTGTCTTGATGTCTGTAGATTGTTGTCTGGATGTTCATAGGCCTGTCTTGATGTCTGTAGATTGTTGTCTGGATGTTCATGAAGCTGTCCTGTTGTCTGTAGATTGTTGCCTGGATGTTCATGAAGCTGTCCTGGTGTCTGTAGATTGTTGCCTGGATGTTCATGAAGCTGTCCTGGTGTCTGTAGATTGTTGCCTGGATGTTCATGAAGCTGTCCTGGTGTCTGTAGATTGTTGTCTGGATGTTCATAGACCTGTCTGATGTCTGTAGATTGTTGTCTGGATGTTCATAGACCTGTCCTGATGTCTGTAGATTGTTGTCTGGATGTTCATAGGCCTGTCTTGATGTCTGTAGATTGTTGTCTGGATGTTCATGAAGCTGTCCTGTTGTCTGTAGATTGTTGCCTGGATGTTCATGAAGCTGTCCTGGTGTCTGTAGATTGTTGCCTGGATGTTCATGAAGCTGTCCTGGTGTCTGTAGATTGTTGTCTGGATGTTCATAGACCTGTCTTGATGTCTGTAGATTGTTGTCTGGATGTTCATAGACCTGTCTTGATGTCTGTAGATTGTTGTCTGGATGTTCATAGACCTGTCTTGATGTCTGTAGATTGTTGCCTGGATGTTCATGAAGCTGTCCTGGTGTCTGTAGATTGTTGTCTGGATGTTCATAGACCTGTCTTGATGTCTGTAGATTGTTGTCTGGATGTTCATAGACCTGTCCTGATGTCTGTAGATTGTTGTCTGGATGTTCATAGACCTGTCTTGATGTCTGTAGATTGTTGCCTGGATGTTCATAGACCTGTCCTGGTGTCTGTAGAAAGTTGTCTGGATGTTCATAGGCCTGTCCTGTTGTCTGTAGATTGTTGCCTGGATGTTCATTAAGCTGTCCTGATGTCTGTAGATAGTTGTCTGGATGTTCATAGAGCTGTCCTGATGTCTGTAGATTGTTGTCTGCATGTTCATAGGCCTGTCCTGATGTCTGTAGATTGTTGTCTGGATGTGCATAGACCTGTCCTGGTGTCTGTAGATTGTTGTCTGGATGTGCATAAAGCTGTCCTGTTGTCTGTAGATTGTTGCCTGGATGTTCATAGAGCTGTCCTGATGTCTGTAGATTGTTGTTTGGATGTTCATAGACCTGTCCTGATGTCTGTAGATAGTTGTCTGGATGTTCATAGGCCTGTCCTGATGTCTGTAGATAGTTGTCGGATGTTCATAGGCCTGTCCTGATGTCTGTAGATAGTTGTCGGATGTTCATAGGCCTGTCCTGATGTCTGTAGATTGTTGTCTGGATGTTCATAGGCCTGTCCTGATGTCTGTAGATTGTTGTCTGGATGTTCATAGACCTGACCTGATGTCTGTAGATTGTTGTCTGGATGTTCATAGGCCTGTCCTGATGTCTGTAGATTGTTGTTTGGATGTTCATAGACCTGTCCTAATGTCTGTAGATTGTTGTCTGGATGTGCATAGACCTGTCCTGATGTCTGTAGATTGTTGTCTGGATGTGCATAGAGCTGTCCTGTTGTCTGTAGATTGTTGCCTGGATGTTCATAGAGCTGTCCTGATGTCTGTAGATTGTTGTTTGGATGTTCATAGACCTGTCCTGATGTCTGTAGATTGTTGTCTGGATGTGCATAGACCTGTCCTGATGTCTGTAGATTGTTGTCTGGATGTGCATAGAGCTGTCCTGTTGTCTGTAGATTGTTGCCTGGATGTTCATAGACCTGTCCTGATGTCTGTAGATTGTTGCCTGGATGTTCATAGAGCTGTCCTGTTGTCTGTAGATTGTTGCCTGGATGTTCATAGACCTGTCCTGATGTCTGTAGATTGTTGCCTGGATGTTCATAGGCCTGTCCTGATGTCTGTAGATTGTTGTCTGGATGTGCATAGGCCTGTCCTGATGTCTGTAGATAGTTGTCTGGATGTGCATAGACCTGTCCTGATGTCTGTAGATTGTTGTCTGGATGTGCATAGACCTGTCCTGATGTCTGTAGATTGTTGCCTGGATGTTCATTAAGCTGTCCTGATGTCTGTAGATTGTTGTCTGGATGTGCATAGACCTGTCCTGATGTCTGTAGATTGTTGCCTGGATGTTCATAGAGCTGTCCTGATGTCTGTAGATTGTTGTCTGGATGTGCATAGACCTGTCCTGATGTCTGTAGATTGTTGTCTGGATGTTCATAGACCTGTCCTGATGTCTGTAGATTGTTGTTTGGATGTTCATAGACCTGTCCTGTTGTCTGTAGATTGTTGCCTGGATGTTCATAGAGCTGTCCTGATGTCTGTAGATTGTTGCCTGGATGTTCATAGACCTGTCCTGATGTCTGTAGATTGTTGCCTGGATGTTCATAGGCCTGTCCTGATGACTGTAAATTGTCGTTTGGATGTTCATAGGCCTGTCCTGATGTCTGTAGATAGTTGTCTGGATGGATGTTCATAGGCCTGTCCTGATGTCTGTAGATTGTCGTTTGGATGATCATAGGCCTGTCCTGATGTCTGTAGATAGTTGTCTGGATGATCATAGACCTGTCCTGTTGTCTGTAGATTGTTGCCTGGATGTTCATGAAGCTGTCCTGATGTCTGTAGATAGTTGTCTGGATGTTCATAGGCCTGTCCTGATGACTGTAGATTGTTGTTTTGATGTGCATAGGCCTGTCCTGATGTCTGTAGATTGTTGCCTGGATGTTCATAGACCTGTCCTGATGTCTGTAGATTGTTGCCTGGATGTTCATGAAGATGTCTGTAGATTGTTGCCTGGATGTTCATGAAGCTGTCCTGATGTCTGTAGATTGTTGTTTGGATGTTCATAGACCTGTCCTGATGTCTGTAGATTGTTGCCTGGATGTTCATGAAGCTGTCCTGATGTCTGTAGATTGTTGCCTGGATGTTCATGAAGATGTCTGTAGATTGTTGCCTGGATGTTCATAGGCCTGTCCTGATGTCTGTAGATTGTTGCCTGGATGTTCATAGACCTGTCCTGGTGTCTGTAGAAAGTTGTCTGGATGTTCATAGGCCTGTCCTGTTGTCTGTAGATTGTTGCCTGGATGTTCATTAAGCTGTCCTGATGTCTGTAGATAGTTGTCTGGATGTTCATAGGCCTGTCCTGATGACTGTAGATTGTTGTTTTGATGTGCATAGGCCTGTCCTGATGTCTGTAGATAGTTGTCTGGATCTCATAGGCCTGTCCTGATGTCTGTAGATAGTTGTCTGGATGTTCATAGACCTGTCTTGATGTCTGTAGATTGTTGTCTGGATGTTCATAGACCTTTCCTGATGTCTGTAGATTGTTGCCTGGATGTTCATAGGCCTGTCCTGATGTCTGTAGATTGTTGCCTGGATGTTCATAGGCCTGTCCTGATGTCTGTAGATAGTTGTCTTGATGTTCATAGACCTGTCCTGATGTCTGTAGATTGTTGCCTGGATGTTCAATAAGCTGTCCTGATGTCTGTAGATAGTTGTCTGGATGTTCATAGGCCTGTCCTGATGTCTGTAGATTGTTGTTTTGGATGTTCATAGGCCTGTCCTGATGTCTGTAGATTGTTGCCTGGATGGATGTTCATAGGCCTGTCCTGATGTCTGTAGATTGTTGCCTGGATGGATGTTCATAGGCCTGTCCTGATGTCTGTAGATTGTTGCCTGGATGTGTTCATAGGCCTGTCCTGATGTCTGTAGATTGTTGTCTGGATGTTCATAGGCCTGTCCTGATGTCTGTAGATTGTTGTCTGGATGTTCATAGGCCTGTCCTGATGTCTGTAGATAGTTGTCGGATGTTCATAGGCCTGTCCTGATGTCTGTAGATAGTTGTCGGATGTTCATAGGCCTGTCCTGTTGTCTGTAGATTGTTGTCTGGATGGATGTTCATAGGCCTGTCCTGTTGTCTGTAGATTGTTGTCTGGATGTTCATAGACCTGACCTGATGTCTAGATTGTTGTCTGGATGTTCATAGAGCTGTCCTAAGAAGCATGTCATAAAAGTCAACAAATTGAAGATTTTCTTTCAAAGTTGGAGTGCATCTGCGTGTAAAATGAATGTACATGCAAAAATTCAAGTTCTAGAAGAAGATGAAAGTCCAGAAATGGATGAAGAACCAGAACTTTCTGCTGGAGTTTGCAGCCCAGGAACGCCAAGAAGAAGAAGAAGGAAATCTTTTTGTGTTAATATAATTATTAACAACATTTAGATGGATTCTACAGATGATAAAATTTTTCTTTCTGTACAGGACCTCAGTCGCCTTGGTCGGGATTTAAATAAAGTTGTCATTATAGACAATTCACCTGCTTCTTACATCTTCCATCCAGAAAATGCTGTAAGTATTTTGTTCTTCTGTGATTGGACAGGGTGGCTGAAGGCTGGTGGTGCTTTGAGGTTTAATGGTTGTGGTTTCATGAGAGCCGGGAACCCACACAGGGAGTAGGAGATTACAGGGAATAGGAGATTACAGTGAATAGGAGATTAGCAGGGAGTAGGAGATAACAGGGAGTAGGAGATAACAGGGAGTAGGAGATAACAGGGAGTAGGAGATAACAGGGAGTAGGAGATTACAAGATGCAGAGAAGCTTGATTAGCCATGCCAGTCAGCAAAGCACTTGATGATATTATTTCCTTCAAACATGTAGATTTACTTAACTGTGATTCTGAGATTTCACTTTTTTTTTAGATGTCCTTGTGTGTTTTTTCTTTCGTATCCCAGTCAGTTTTTTATCTTATGATGAATCTTTGGACCCTTGGAAGATGCGAACAGGGGAGAATGGAAAGTGAGAAACAACAAAATTCATGATCTATTGAAAACCCAGCTTATTACTGGCATCATGAGGGCTAATAGACTCTGAATGTTGGGGCATATAGAAAGAATGGCAGAAAACAGAGATGCTATGAACACAAAACATTTGAATGAGAATAGACAGCAAGGCAAACAAGGAAGATAGTTCTTCTTCTTAAAGTCCTTGCTGTGTGGCGTTGGTAGTCATGCCTATCCATAACCTCCTGTCTCATGAACTTTCATTCAAATCTGACACAGATGATCCTCCATAACAAGATGTCACACTATCCAGCATGTCAAACCATCCAGTATCTTTTCTCTCGTTCCCCACGCCTCTCCTCTCCTACACCTTTCCTGCTGTCTCTGTGTACTCCAGTTTTTTCCTTTTCATCACATGACCAACAAATGTATGTTGTTTATTTCTGATGTGGGCAATCAGTTCTCTACTTGAGTCAGTTTCTTTCATGACATCTTCATTACTCTTTTTTATCTGTCCAGGGTGTTCTCATCATTTGTCTGTAATATGAAATCTTTGCAACTTCAAAATAGGTTTTCACTAATTTGCCAACTGTCCTTGATTCACTTCCATATATAAAGATAGGATTTATATAGCTATTAATAATTTTTTTTTTAAATTTTTTCTTTTTTTTTTAATTGAAGCTTTTAAGAATCTTTGTTCTTGTCTCAATTGATAAAGAAAGATTGCGGAAGATAGTTAAGGGATAATATATACAGACAGACCTGCAAACAGTTGTAGTCGCTAACTAGAAAGAGAACTGCTGATGACAGATGAGCAGAAGTGGGTAACATCTGCAGTAGTGAACCTCAAGTGCTCAGAATGCAAAAGAATAACAAGTTTAAATGTTGAATGATATGGTGAGGATAGTTAATAAATGGGGCATGCACCCATTATGTGGGTTGCAGTACTGGAGTTAGAGATAAGTAAATAAGCAACAGCTTAGGGCCTTTTATAATTTGCTGGGGCTTCAACAAAACGAATTCTATTTTTTTGTTTTTTTACAAGTGCAGTTTTCTTTTAATTTATTTTAAAAATAATTTTCTTTTAATAGAGCCTTTTATATTGTTTTGTAATATAATTTCCGCAAACTTATTCTTAATTGTTTCTTTTACAGACAAATATAACAACAATATATCTACATTATCCATATGTTTGAAAGACCTATATATATTTTAATTTTTTTATTGTGGGGGGTGGGAGTTTAGCTATTGTAATTTAAAGTGGTATGGGCCTCGGGGATTTATCTAGCTAAGGGTATCGTCAAGTCTAAATCTTGCCCTAATGGATTATACTGTTTATTTTGATTTCACTTGAACTAAAAATGTTTTTTTTTATTATAAATTTCCCACAGGTGGCCGTGAGTTCATGGTTTGATGAAATGAATGACACAGAACTCTTGGACTTAATCCCCTTTTTTGAGCGCCTTGAACAGGCAGACAGTGTGTACAACATCTTGAGAACGTTTGCAGAATCAGCATCTTCCACCTCACCTTCCTAGCCTTCCCACCACATGCCTGGCTCTGTGTTGACACTGTTGCACCCATTGAAGTTTATAGTCTCATTCTCTTGATGACAGGTCAAAAGTTGTTGCGTTTGCAGGCTTCAAGATTTTGCTTGGACTGACATATTTTTGGAGGGGAAGAGTGGCAGAGGGAGACCAAGAGAGAAAATGCTGGGCAGTTTGACATCGCAGCATAGAAGATCATCTGTATCATTCATTATTGATTGAAAGTAAACGAGGCAGAAGATTAATGATTGACATGACTACTGATGCCACACAGCATTGACTGTAAAGAAGACACATTTTTCACTAGTTGTCAAATGGGACAATGACGGACATTTTGTGTGATTTTCACTGACACAGGGAAGGAGCGGTTACACTGCAACCGGTTTGCAGTAATGTTGGTACCTCGACTAACTAGCTAACTGATGAAAAACATGGGAAGAGGAAACTTTCTTAAACATCCGAGGATGAAGAGATTTTCATCTGACTGATGAAAAACATGGGGAGATTAACTTTCTCAGACATCCCAAGACGAATAAATTTTCAATTACTGATGCCAAACGTGGACACTTACATCCTTCAATGAACGTAAAATTGTGACAACAGAGATTAAATGTTTTAGAAGAGCTGCAGGAGTTTCAAGGAAAGACAGAATACGAAATCATGAAAGCAAACGAATGCTAGTAATAAAGCCAGTCTTTCAGGTCATCAAAGAACAACAAATGAAGTGGTTTGGACACCTAACAAGAATGCCTGGTACTTTTTGCCACAGCGAGCCACGCTAAAATGTTACAACGGGTATAGAGCGAGTGGAAGACCTCGGAAAAGATGGAGTGATGGCATTAAGAACAACCTTACAGAAATGAACATCAGTCTTAATAATGCTCTAGACAGAGCTTATCAACGAACATTACATCTCCCCCCCCAACACTTCGATGAGGTACAAGGTGGAAGAGGAGAAGAAGATGAAAAACATGGGGGGATAAACTTTCTAAAACATCCCAGGATGAATAGATTTTCAGCTGACTGATGAAAAACATGTGGAGATGGGTCTCTCAAACATCCTAGGATGATGAGATTTTTTTTTTTTTAATTAAGCTATGTGTCAGAGAACGTGTGCGTGATTTCCTAGCACAGATATCGTTCATTGTGGTCAAAGGATGGCATTATTTATATTCAGGGAAATGACTTTTTATCTCTTGTGCCAACAGTGTTCTGAGCGAGTAATTATTTTTGTATTGTGAAGTCTGCTATATCGAGTTTCTACTGATCTGTACCAGTGTTCAAAAGAGAAATTGGCAAGAGGACGAAAATGGCTGTTTACCGCTCTACCTATGTACCAGTCCTGACCTATGGATGTGAGTCATGGGCAATGACAACAGCTCACAGAAGCCAGCTGCAGGCCTCGGAAATGAGATACCTGAGAAAGGTGGTCCAAGTGACAAGAAGGGACAAAGTCCGCAATCAGACAATACGTCAGGATCTTGATACCCAGCCCTTACTAACCCGAGTAGATCAGTCACAGTTACGATGGTTTGGACATGTATGCAGAATGGGAGAAAATCGGCCACCATGGCAGGCATGGGAGGCTAAGAACCAGGGAACCAGACCTCCGGGACGACCCAGGGTGCGCTGGGAAGACAACATCCGACAGTCCCTAACTGACAGAGGACTGGAATGGAACAAAGCCAGAAAGAAAACTGCTGATAGAGACGTCTGGCTATCTCTCTGGCAAACCTCTACACCCCAAGGTAGAAGGGGAGCGACTAAGTAAAGTCTGCACCAGTGTTGAGAGCTGTAGCTCAGGTGTCAGAAATTAGCGGCACCATTAGTTGGTTAATTTGAATGTTGAATTGAGAATCGAACATCACAGCACTCGGGACACTCCCATAAGTGCTCAGTCCCCATCTTCAGCAGCAAGCGAAGAGTTTTAATTTTGATGGTAGCAGTAACCGTCCGATTGTATGTTCGTCTCATCCTTCCCCTGAGCGTAGAGAGTCGACCAGATCCTGATTTAAGACGGCATCACAGCAGATGAGATAAAACCGATACATACTCCCTCTCGCATAGATAATGTCAGTTGTTGGTGCAAATGTTTCAGAAGCATGCTGGTATATTGGTATTCTTCCTCACTCACATCTTTTTGTGCCACGCCCACCCTTGACTCCAAATAAACGCATTCCTGCATATCCTTGGCAGTATATGAGAAGCACCAAAGTGCAGTGCAGTTTTAGTTTTCACCGAATTGTAGAAGTTGCTCCCATAGTTTTCCATGCACAGGAAAAATAAACATATCCAACTTATTCAGGTGCTTTATTTTTAATTCGCCCCAAGCAAAAGGAATCCTAGAGTTTCTGGGAAAGTCCAGAATTCTGGGGGGTGTTATGATATTTGTCAGCCCCGACACCCTCAGAGACACAGACTAACCCTATCTATAACTCTAACCCCTAACCACAACCCTAAACCCAACCCATAACATCCCTAGATTATTGGACTTTCCCGGGAACTCCAGGATTACCTTTGTTTGGGGTAAATTTGGAAGAAAAAAAAACTCCTTATACATTAGCAGTGGGGGAGACGCGTTGAAATGTGTTTTCAAAACAGTAGTCCCCCGTGTGGGTTCCGGGGCCCTATTATAGGGAAAACAAGAATAGATCCACTGCTTACCCAAAAGCATGTGGAAAGAGTCGACTAATTGGGACCATCCTTCGAAGTCGGAGTGTATCTGCCTGAGAGGCAAGGAACCAACAGTCTGCACACAAATGTGTCAGATCTGTCAAACAGATGCATACGCAACACTCAGGTTCTGGAACAGGGCTGCAGTCGAGAAGTGGATGAACAACCAGAACTTTCCACCAGAGTTTACAGGTGGTGAAAGCAAAGAAGAAGAAAAAAGTAGTTGTCATGTAGAGCAAATGAGGTCAATAAAAAATTATTTTTCTGAAATGTTTAAAAAATATTTCCTGTGTATGGAAACTTATGAAACAGTCTGTATTTTCAGGATTGTTATTTATCCCTTGAAATATGCCAGAGGTATACACACACACAGTTCTATTCCAGCTAGATCAAAATGAAGAATTACTGTTTCCGCACCCATATAATTTTTAATTTAATTTTTTTTAGACAGGTTTCAGTGTTCAGAAATGATTTTTCTCAAGACAAGGATTTAATACCATAGTGTCTTTGGCATGGTACCAACAAAATGTTTCCACCAGTAGTTCTTCATAGATAGCCTTCAGAATGTTTGCCTTATACATTATGACTATTCCTGCAACTGTTGCTGTTGTAGCCAGAATACCAGCCCATTCGTTGCCTCACACATGAGTCTTTGAATAATGTATAAATATTTCACTTGTAATTTTTATTCTTCAGCAGTTATTTTTTTTTAATTCCGAGTCTTTTTGATTGTTTTTGTTTCCATGAAATATGACCTATCCTTCTGTATATGAACGTTTCCAGGGACTTAGTTTGACTTTCTCATTACTACTTAGTTGCCTTGGTTTCTGCAGTTTTATATGGTAGGGTTGAGTACCAAGATTTCTTCTTCTTCAGGGATGTCTGGTCTTGCACTTAACCCACTGTGGGCCATATCATAAACTGGGATGTCATCTCAAGGTCTCTTACGTTTTCTCAGGTTTTGTCAGGTCACAGCTCCTCCAGGAGAGGACAGTCTTGCAAGACATCTTCTGGAGTCTTTTCAACACAAAGACACTGGCAGAGAGCTGTTTGGCTCATATCTAATTTATATAAGTGTTTGTTGAGTCTGCAGTGCCTGGTGCGCAAGCCAAATATTGTCACTTGGTCTGTTCTGTTAAGTTGATTGAGGAAATCTTTTTCAAGGTAGTTCCAGTCTCTTTCTGATTTTCTCTTAATAAGGATTATCACTTTAAGTAGATATTTGACAGTTTTAATTTTTTGTTTTGTAGTGTGTGTTTCTCTCTAGATGTCAGTAATTTTTATTACTTGTAACAAATATTTGTGTCCATGCACATTTTTTTTTCCATTGTAGGTTCTTGGTCCTTACTATTTAAGAAAACAAGAATAGAGCCACAGCTCCTTAGGGAGCATGTGATAACAGGCGACTAATTCAGGATTTGATAAAATCGGATTTGTTGGGCTGAAAGATTCGGGTATCGCAGTCTAGCTGTAAACCACAATCACAGTGAACCAAATGCCCTTTTAGGGGAAAACGCAGAAGAAGATAATAATAATATTCTCCTTTTAATTTCCATTTCTGCCCATTATCTGTTATCACATGTCCAAGATAGGAGAGACTTAGCAAGTGCCATACTTTAGTGCCAGGCCAATCATAAATAACTGAATAACTCTAGACTGTCTTATTTTGTGTTGATATTTAATAGAAGCGCAGTGAAACTTTGTTTATACTCACCATGTATTTCTTTCCTGCCTTGTGGAACCTTTAAAACTAACTGTTTGTTTGTATGTAATACAGAGATTATTTATTTGTTTTTTCTTGTTGTAAGCAGTAAATGTTTTGGGCTTAGATGTTTTCAGTTGTGCTGTGTTAGAGGTGACTTGTGCTGTGTTAGAGGTGACTTGTGCTGTGTTAGAGGTGACTTGTGCTGTGTTAGAGGTGACTTGTGCTGTGTTAGAGGTGACTTGTGCTGTGTTAGAGGTGACTTGTGCTGTGTTAGAGGTGACTTGTGCTGTGTTAGAGGTGAACCTCACCATGGAAACTTATTTTGTTTCTTGTACAGGGAAACCTCACTAACACAAACTCTTAAGAGAATTAGTAAAGGAAGTAGAGGTCCCTTTTCAACGCCTTTAGGCATATAGGGCTAGACCAGTCGGCAAAAGATGGGTGATGCGGTCAGCATCACACAGCCGCCTTTACTTTCCGGGACTGCATCGGGTACCCACTCAAGGCTGGGTCTACCTGGGAGTCAAGGTTATTTTTGAAAAAAGTCCGGCTCCGCTAGGAAGCAAACCCCCGACCTTCTGATCCGCACGCGTGCATCTAGCCGCTGCGCCGC